GAGCCACCCAATTACATGGAAGTGAATTCTTAAATCACAAAAGCATTCCTTCTACATGGAGTCACTATCGTTGCTTGGCTTTGTCTTAAGCTTAATAGTAAAAATGGTATTTTCTGGTTTTCATCTGCAGGATTTATGATTCACCGTTTCTTTATCTGACCTCATGCATTCACGGTGATTGAATTGGAATAGTTATCGAGCCCATCCAATAACACAACACGTCATCGACCGTCACCCGTTTCCTTAAGTGGATTTTCTTAAGAAAAAACATATATAAATATTATTGTTATCTTTGCTGCTGAGATTTATACCCTCCCCACAGATATTACTACCTAGTACAGTGTAGGCAGTTTATCTGGTGCTTCCAGCCGTTCCACACTCACACTCATGCCTATGGTTGGTTTAGAGAGTATAATTAACCTTATTCAGTATTGTTTTGACTGAGGACGGCCACTGGGGAAAATCCATGCGCTCACCGGGAAAACATTTAACTTCTAACTTCCCAAGATACCACTTTGAGGGGATTGAGCTGGTAAACCTGAATATTGTAAGGCAAGAGCCACTGTGTTGCCCCGGCCGGTGTTAAAAATGACTAATGAGTCAACATTGGAATCGTCTAAATATTTTTGTTCTTGTTGTTATGACATAAAACTTTAAATAAAAGATAAATATTGTTCAAAATAGCTGAACACAATTGTGGCTTAAAAAAGCCGAAATATTGAAAAAGAAGAGCAGAGGAGATGAAGAGAAGTAGAAAAGAAGAGCAGAGGAGATGAAGAGAAGAGAAGAAAATGTCAATTAGTAGGAAGAAGTAAAGAAGGAAAAGGTGAAGAAAATGGAGAAGAAATAGAGAAAGAAGAAAATATAAAATAGTAATGAGTAAAAAATAAAGAACAACAACCACAACAACAAATAAATAAAGCAAAGAGAAAACGACCAGCCACAGCCACAGCCTGGTTCAGTCAAATCTCATATCTCAGGGCTCTGACTCTGAATTCCATTTCACAACCAGGAGGCAATGTTTATTTATTTATGTATTTATTTTATTTCATTTTAATGTTTTTTTTAACTCTACAGTGTCAGTCATCCTTGTTGACCTTAGGAATGAGTCTTAGAGTAAGGAAACTGAGCAAAAGAATGTGGACAAATGGAGTTGTGCTGTAAAAAATTAAATTAAAATGAATCAAAATCTATCATTTGACATTTCTCTGTTGAATAAATAGTTGATGTTCTGTTCAAATAAATCTCTACACTGCCAGTCGATTTTGCAATTTTAGGAAGTGTTCTGAATGAAATGATGGTCTACATTAATAATACATACACTTAGGGGCCACAAGAGACCCACTGTCAGACCATATCCGGCCCCAGGGCCATATCTTTACCAGCTTTCAAATAAAGGCAATAAACACAACTGAGACACAACCTTTATGATCACATTGTATTTGCCCAATCCAGTGGCGCCCCCAAGAGGTAGTCACAGCTACCCTTTTCAAACTACCGGCCCCCCAACAATCCTTCGCCCTGACCTTTTATTGAGCTGACTGCACACTGGCTTTTTAATTAAATGGAGTCAATGATGTTTCCTAGAAAAAAAGGGCATGTGTATAACTGAATTTATTTGATTGGAAGCAGAGGAGAGAGAGATGCAGCACATGACATCAGGCTGGAACTGAACCGTGAGGAGAAGTGTTTTGATGTGGTGCCTTTAGAATTCCACGGGCCAATCCTGTAAAGGTCGTCTGGGGGCCAATTACCCTGTACCCTACTCTACTCTACTCTGTAATTGGCCTGTGTAGATATGGATCAATAAAAAATCTGTTTCTGTTTATTCTGCATTTTAGAGCAGATGTTATTCTACACAATGATTCCCGTAGTGTTGATTTATTTGCCAATTCAAGTTTTGCTCATCAAACGGTGCATGCATTGTAAACTGAGCAGCAGCAGCAGCAGCAGCAGCAGCAGCAGCCTACCTGCTTCAGACGCTTGACTCTCGGCTGTCAATCACCGCTCCATCCTCCAATCACAGCCACCGCCAGCTCCCTGACTCCTCCCCTGTGTATAATTGAAGTTTCTTTAGTTTTCTCCGGCGGAGTCTGCACGCAGTAGTGTCCGATCCGTGAGGGGATTAAATCCACAGGCGCGACGGGACCATGTTTTCCAGGAGCCTGAACGTGTGCGTGATGAGCCTGTATTTGTGGATTACAGCGGTGACGAGTCCGGGAAGTGTGAGTGCGAGGAAGCAGGACGACTCTTTCTTCACCGGCAGCATTTACCGAGCGAGATGCGCGTCGAGATGCCTCAGCCTGCACATCACTCGCATCTCTGCCTTTTTCAAGCACTCCCAGGTACGGCCACCGCGTGGGGTCAGCCGCGCATCCCCACGACGCACGATTCGATTAGTTTGATTAAAAAAAAAATCCAAAAATTGACATCTTTCCGCACGGATGCAACACGACTGTAAGTCAGTCCTGGTTCTCCCGGTGCGCTTTGGTCAGAGGGACAGGTCAGAGTAGACGCGCTGGTGCTGAACTACTTTGTTGATTTTTTGTTTTGCATTTTAAAACTGTAAACATCGCAGTTGAGGCGAGTTGTTATTACTTCACACCAGGGACAGAACCAAACACAGATTGCAGAGGAAAACACAAGAGTTACTTCCAAACTTGCCATGTTCAGTATCAGTGAGTGATGTTCGTCCAATTATCACTGCAGTGTTTTTGAGAGTGGGACTTGACACGTTTGGGATCAGCACTGTGAAACTGTATACTAAAATATATACTGTATTTATAAAAAAGTTATTTCATGACAGTTTTTGTTGTAATTTTACACCTCATATGTTTTTTTCATCCTTCCTTGAAGTATTTTAACCTCTTTATTGAGATAAATCAGTGACATAAAACTAGAAATCTGGTACTTTGCTGCAGGCAGAGCTGGTTCGCAGCCTCCTATAAATTAGGTGTGCTCCTTGCTTGATGTGGTGTGTGGTGTCAGAAGTTGTTTTTCACCCTCCACTGGACACACTGTTCTCTCCCAGGACTCCAGAGAAAAGGACTTGGTCACTGATCCTTCTCCTTCTCCTTTTTTTTCTTACTTCTTTCTTTCTCTCACCCGCTATCTATGTGGTGACCGCCTTTGTACTCCAGTTCATTTGCATTTGCAAAAGGCTCCTCTTTCTAAAGGTGCATTAATGAATGGATCCCTAATTGTCAGGAAACACTGGTGGGTGCAAGGTAAACTTGTAATTAAGGCTCATACATCAGCAGAATGCACCCATTGTTTCTCTCGCTCCCCAATTAACTTTACTTTGAAAGTCATTATCGATTCAGCGCAGCGCTTTTGTGAGATTTTTTCCTCCACAGCGCAGAGAGAGAACAGCCAAGGTCACTTCTTCCAATTTTATTTAGAGATGATGTATACAGTTTGCTTTAATTAACCTCCCAGCAGGACAGGCTGCGTGTTGTGCTGTGAGGCACAGATGGAAAAGAGCGTCTCGTTTTAAAGTGCAAGCCAGCAGGAAGTGTTAGAAATTTATTTTGAACAAATTCCAACAGTCTTTTTTTTTTTTCCTCTCCTGGTTCTCAAACTTGGGGAATGAAATTAGTCACCAACTGGCTGAGCTGTCAAAGCTACTGGTCGTCTCCGGTTTAATGAGTGCAGAGCCTGATGGTCTGAGACGGAGGAGGAGAAAAAGACCACGGTATTTTTATGTTAAGTGATAAGCAAGGTTTGCTTGACCAAGGCTGTGGGCCTAAGAATAGAAGGCAGTGGTTGATAATGTGGAGTCTCTTCTCATCAGTCCTTTCAGGTGAAAATTGAGGTGGGAGGGAGGGGGGGGGTCAGCTGCAAAAACATATGGCTCTCTCCCCGCCCCCCTGCCCTCTACCCCCTGGCCCTGCCAATAAATGCCAGCATCACACCTCACAGGCATGCAGAGGATGTACGCCACGAAACACCGACGCTGCCCCGCTGAGGTCACCTTCCTGCTAAACACCGGCTCCCAGTCGTGCTAAATGCGATAAGCTCTAGTGCGCTGTTGCTACAACACTGGAGCGTGCTCAGTCAGCACCAACCTACAGGTGGATCTGCTACCTCTGCCGGATCGTGTTGCAGCAGGGGCGAAGGGGGGGAGGGGTGGGGGGCGGGGGAGACAACAGGCAGCAGTTTGGAGCTCCACTCAAATGGTTGAGATGACAGAGCTCTCAATTCAACTGGGACGTCCTTCTGGGGATGTTTAACACTTGATGGGAAAAAGGAAGGCCTACAACAGCTTCCACTTTAATGGGACTCAAATGTCTGGGCTGTCCGTCAAAGCTGGGACTCCGACTCACCCCCTTTCACAATATTTCACTCTGTTTGCTCAACATCCAGTAACCGATATCGACCACTACTTGAGAGACACGATAACACATTTTGCAGCTGGAGTCTAACGTTCTGTTTCTCATATCAGCTTTAATTTCATCATTCCGCAAATGCTGGAATGAGACTAGGAGAATTTAGCGCTTGCAGATGCCGATGTTGACGAACACCCATGTGTCTTTCTTGTGCGCTCATCAGAATCAAAGAAAGAATCAGCGACTTTGTTTTTAATTGTCGCAATTAGGAATCGGCGTGAAATGGAAACAAGCAACGGAGACTTGGGAAACGCATGGGTTCTCCTATGGCTGTCAGTTTTATAGCTGCACCAGATTTATTTCTGTAATAGTATTTCCAAATACAGATTTATTGACATTTTACTCCGCGTTTGGGGAACTTGTCACCCTAGGATAATAGACAGAGGGGAACACCCAACCATAAATATTAGCCTCGGACACTCTCAAATATTAAGGGCGAGCTGGGAACTCTGTGTAATTATGTATTCTGAAAGCATCGGCCTCGTAGTGGATTATTTATGTGGGGACGTGTGAAGCCAAAGGCAAGGTGTGTCCGTGAGGTCTTGTTATTGCGTTCAAAGCAATAAAAATCCAACATTTAAAATCCACTCATTCATTTCTAATGTGCTGCAGAGCAAACTCTAGGCATCCTAGTGGAGGGATTTGTGTTGCAGGCGAAGGGAAGAAAAAACATTGGAAAGCACTTTTTCCGTGTCCCCTTGTTTTTCGCCTTTGATATTAAGTGAGCTGCTGTGGAATCGAGCCCTCAGCCAGTGCATGTCTCATGTGTGGAGTTTTTCATTAGTGAAGACAGCGGATGAATAGGGGTCTATGTAGCTTGGCTTCACCTCTCAGTAAACGCTCAACGTGACAGTCGTCAGTAAATCTCCGCCGCCGGTGCTGCTACACCCGGGGCTTTACCCCGTTTGACAAACAGCCCTCATTTCTCTGCGGAGACAACTTTACACCACAGTTGTCGGAGATTTCTGAAACGCTCTTTTATGTTGCCATTGGACGGGCGCTGATCTCATTAGCTCATTTTCAGAGCCCCTGTCAAATTATTCATATAAAGTGAATAATTGATGAGGACAATGACCACAGCCCTCAAATCCACTCAGGTTGAAACCTAAATCTGGAGGCCCTTTATTTCAGCGCTGCATGTGTGCCCTGAAGGAGAAGTTATTTTGGTGTTGCCTGAGGGTCCTTGAGCAATTAGAGGACACACAGAGACAGCAGTCTGTACTTTGAAGTCCTATCTATTCTTCGCTGGGCCAGAGATGTACAAGGTCGTATGGATCCGCAGCCCGTTTCCAGTAGATTTCCGTGGACAACGTATGGCCAAGTACTCCAGAACACTTTTCTTGTGTAAACTGAGAAGCGTTTGATTCAAAAGGGAGACCCACAGGAGGCCAAAGACGTCCCTTCTTCAAAAGGTGGAACTCTATCCTCGGAGATAAAAGGGGTTTTGTCTACAGTCTCCTCAGTTGTCTAGACAATACAACACGCCCCTGGCCACCTGCTCCGACTTTTCAGCTGACACTGAGCAAAAATGTACCTCTGTGATAAATCTCCTGTTTACATGACTCCACCAGTGTCACTAACAAAGCGGTGATGTCGGCGTACACGCTCGCAGACCGCTGTCTGGACTCATCCTGCTCCTGAGCCCTCGTCACACAGGAGGATATCTGGAAAGCATTCATTCAGCGTCAGAGTCCTTGACAGTCCTGAGAGCTGCGTAGTGTTCAGACTGCAGAGGAATGTCATGGTGAGTCAGAGCGATGAAGCCCTGACCTATAATTATTCCCCCGTTGGTCCCTGACACGGTGGGGTCAGGCTTGGACAGCTGGGGCAACATCCTGCTGAGACTCTCTGCTACATCGATGCTGTCACGCTGCAAAATTAGCTCCTCTGTGGATCGGCCCCGTCGTGGTGTGATGGATGGGTGCAGAAAAGGTGTCAAAAACTGGACCGGTGATTTAAAACGTGGTCCAGAGGTTTGACAATCTTTATAAATTATCAAGAGGTACGGAGGCACAGGTGTAAAATTGAAAGGTTTTATTTCTGGGAATTCATCAAAGTTTTTTTTTTTTTTGGCTTAGATGGATGCATAATTTTTAGTAGAAGATGACAGGGTTTTTAATAAATCTGAGGTGGGGAAAATGACACCTTGTAAAGAATAATTGATGATTTAATCAGTGGGACGGAGGGGAGGTGTTGTGTTTCACAGGAAAAGGTAGAAATCCTGCTGATGCACACCAAACTCAACAAAAGTTGGAGCTCAGTTACACTTCATGTATTAACAAAATGAAACAAGCATTCCCATTATCCACTCTCAGTATTCTTCTGCCTTATCAGCAGCTCTGAGTTGAAGGAATTCTCTGAAGACTGGACCGTACAATCCCAGAATCCTTTGAAGCCATTTGACCATTATCCTTGACACTAACAGCGAAGCACATACTGGTACTGGATGTCAAATTAAACCCTTAAATGATAAGTTCTCTCCTCGGGTCTCGTGGGAAATCTCTGCTGGATTACATTGTGGGGAAAATGCTTTGAACTTGACATTGAACTTAAACAGACCTTTTTTTCCTGCAGAACCCAAAAAGTTGGGTCGTATCCTTCAGCTTCATTACTTTCATGGAGAAGCACTGAAATGATCCCATAATACGAAACCTAGAGCTGAGCCACTGACTGGAGTCGATTCATTTAATAAAGGGGCAATTACATGTATGCAGCTGAGGCGTCAACTTTAACATGTCTTTTTTTCACAGTGTCAGACGTTGCCAAATTGCATTGTTGATCCACTGCCCTGATTTGCTAGTTTTACATGTGGTAACTAAGTGAGAATTACAACCAGCAGATGCAGTTACTGATACGTGTTCACACTTATGCTGATCTTTGGTGATGCATGCCTTTGTACCTGTGGTTGGTTGTGAGCATATTTATCATATGCTGTGTCTTAACATGCGTGAGTGTGGTAGAATTCACAACCACAATAGCAAAATCCACATTATCTTGTTTTTTTTTTTTTTTTACCAAATGCCTTCATTAGTCTTTTATCTGGGTCTCTGTTGCAACAGCATCAGTTTATTTGGCCAGAATTCTTGATGCTCAAAACCATAACATCTGAGTTCATAAGGACATCAGAGCTTATCAGGGTAGGTCACAAAGAGATGACAAATTTATTTTTTTCACTTCACATTCTGTAGAACTTATCCTGCACCAGGTCTCGACCCGTTTCTTTGCCTTGTCTGGGGATTGACATCAGACGAAGCCTGGTCTAACCCCTGTCACAAAACCATTCATGATTGGTTCAAAATGTGATGTTAGTTTTCATTTTAGCATTAATCATTTTACAAAAAAATAAAGCCATCAAAGCCGTCATCACACAAAAAACTTTTTTGAGATGCGGGCCATTTAAACACTTCACTTCTGGACGTCTATCCTGAACCTGGCCTTGCACTGGCCAGGGTGTTTGCAGAGAATGACAACATAATGACGACATAATTCTCAGCTCTAATGGAATCCAGGAAATGGCCACTTGCACAGACCATTTACCGGTCCTTCAGTGGACAACTTATATATTTACACTCGGAGGACGTTTCAAATACATGGCACTTATTGGGACCAAATGTGTGGCTCCGTGGAGTGAGGAGGGTGGCACTTCCACGGCAATTAGAGGAAATTGGCAGTATCTGCAGTCCACACAGGAGTGCTGACATCAGCTCCCACCTCCGTGACCTCAGGGGACGTCTGTGCAGAGATCAAACAGGTCCGTAGAAAAGCTGAGGTCACCGTGCTCTGCTGAAAATGACCAGAGGATTTGTCCTAGCCCTGGTGCCGCTGACCCCTCCTTCCTGCTTGGGTTACATGCGCACACAGCACGCAGAGTTGACTGAAAGGCAACCTTTGAAATGAGTCTTCGGTTTGTATTATTGTTAATCAAAAAGGCCATAAGTCAAGTGAGGTGAAGGCCCCGTGTTTGCCTCATGAATTGGATATTAGAAATACTTTTAACCATATCACAGATGATTGATGATATGTTTTTCCCTCCTCTTCTGCAGAATAACGGATCCTTGGTTTGGTGCCAGAATCATAAGCAGTGCTCCAAGGTAATGTGGTTTCACTTTTTCTTTTTTTTTCTCTTCATGAGCGAGACACATGCCACATATGTGCCTCATTATTACAGGATAATACAACATAAAGTGTACGAGTCACGACAGGACTAGTTTTGTCATGCCTGCAGGAATCACTGGCTGAGCCATTGACAGAGTGTTCAGAGAAAACTGCTTTCTTTTCAGACTGTCCTTCACTCAGATTACTCCTGCTTTCATCCTTAATCACTGTCTTCTTTAAATGCTTACAATTAAGTCCACTTTTAGAAGAAAAAAACAGATTAAAGGAGGGCAAAGGCTTTTGGATTTATGGAAACAAATGATGCACGTTTTTTTTTTCCACCACAGTCTCGTCTTTTTAAAATTTCACTCTGCTGTGCCTCCTGCAGCGCTTGTTTGTGATTCATGCTCTGTCCTGGGGAAGGTTGCTACAAAGCTGGTGTTGACAGCTCTTCTGAAAAGATGGTGCTGACATATTCCATCAGACTCCTGGTACTGTTGACAAGGCCCTCAGAGATGAGCTGTACAGACAGTAGACAGGGGATTCTATGGAAGTGAATTGGAGCTGGAGAGACCAGAAGAGCCTGGTCTAAATAACAATCTGAACAATGCCCCCTGTGGCTGTGAAAGCTGGGAACAGACTACAGGGGTTTTTTTGTTTCTTTTTTTGTTGTTGCCAGATTTCACTCACGATTCCCATTTGGGCAAAGTCTGAACCAGTCTGCGCTAGCTGGAAACAGTCGGCGTGGCTAATTGGCACAAAAATAAGTAAGTCAGTGCCTAAAAAGCTAAAAATGTGCCATAGCACTGAATACTGTGATGCAGATGTCCACACTTTTTTGACATGGCAGCTAATGGCAACTACCTAATATTAAATAAAAATATAAACTAAATATATGTTATATATACATGATATATGTTGAAGTACTGTGTGGTACAATATGATTAAATACTTAAACGGTTACTGATCTAGTCCTAGAGATTTAATCTAATACTAGAATCACGTCTATATTTTTAACTGAAATACTCATCATCTACTAGTAGTGTTGGTGGAAAAGCTCTGCTTATATTCTGGACAGTCAGCTGCCCTTAAACCACTTAAAGTTGAATTGTATTTATATTTATTTATTTTTTAGTCTAATTTTATTATTTATCCGATGTGACGATGGTGTCAGTTTTTAATTAATGCAGAACAAAAAATAAATAAAAAATCTGGCACCAAACATTTTCTTGCTCGGTGTCCTTTGGACAACCTCACCTCAGACCCATCTGTTCTTTAAAGTATTTAAAGACTGTAGAAAATGTGTAGTAAAGGTTCTCAGCTTCAAATGGCACACTTCATGTAAATAAAAAGATTTTTGAAGTAAAATAGAAGTAACAGATGGTGTGATTATGGAAAAATTCATGCCATGTTTTTTGAAATGATTGTATCGCAGCAGCGATCGTGATGAATTAGAAATCTGTGGTCGATTTCTTTTACATTTAACTCATTAAACATTACCACAGTATAACAGGTGTTCATATCAATCACAATCAGTGTCCAGTATCAGCCGCCTCGCAGAAGAAGCCCTCATGTCTGATTTTTTTTTTTTAATGGACTTCTTTGAATTTCAAATTGTCTCCTTGGCTGTTCCCATTCATCTGGGACACAAAGGAGCTTCTGTGCTTTAACTTCAAAACCCACTTACAGAGAATTTCTGTTCATTTTCTTGTACAAACTTTTTTTAAAAATCAGACTACAGAAGGAAGAAGAGTCTTTCAGTGGATTTACTGAACATTCTGAGTCTATTCATTAAACACAGACTGATATTAAAAAAAGTTACTTGCCGTTCACTTCAAAAAGGTTTGAAAGACTCATGTTCACCCCAGGCTGAGGTTTTTTTTTTTTAATACTTCTAGACCATTTGACAGCAGCCACTCGGGACAGATGTTTTGCAAATTTTAGCCCTTTCAGCGATTTCGAAGATAGGAAGGTGGATAAAAGTATAAGTAAAAGAGTGCTCCTCAGTACTTCTTGTTAGCAGTTGTCTGTTTATCCTCTACATGAACTGCAGGCGGGCCGTTCAAACGCACACTCTGTCTCTACGAAGCCAAGTTTTTGTAAAGTCTAAAAATGTCTTCCCAAAAACGGTAATGATATCACCCAGTCACACAGATCAATACGTCCATCAAACTTCAAAAATCACCAATGCTAGCTTCAAACGCATGCTTTCTTCTTTCTCGGATGCTAAATTTAACTACTAGCTTGTCAGGAATTTGGGTTTGGGTAAAATCTGAAAGAATGTTTGTCGAACAACTTGGTTTTCTGCCACTTCTTAAAATGAGTTGCTTAATTGTCTCTTAAACAAATTTTATGTTTTGAAAAAAAAAAAAAAAAAAAATCTGCCAAAAAAAAAACGTTCCCCAGTGTATGAGTGTGTGTGTGTGTGTGTGTGTGTGTGTGTCTTTCTGGTTTAGTCTGAAAGTTCTCGGAGAAAGCCAACCGTCTTTGTTTTCTCCATAATGCTGTGAAACTGCCTTTCCACAGTGATGGCCAACACTGACTCCTGGCACCGGTCGCTCCTGTCATTCAGCAGAGTTTTATGTTTGAATAAGAGTTTTGCTGGCTGTGACTCTGAGCACAGCACACTGTTTTCATAATCAACAAGCAAGCATTGCTAGAATTCAAGTGTCCAAGAAGTATTTAATGAGCTTTTTGTTCTCCCTGCCGGCCCAAGACTGTCAGAACTTCTTTTTCTCTTTTTAGGCTGTAAATAAACGAGGCTGATTCCATGTCGTGCCATTGGTGACAGGCAGTGGTTGCTTTCCCTCTTTTCCAAAAAAAAAAAAAAAAAAAGAAAAGAAAAAAAAGTTTTGAGGTCTCTCTGAAATTAATTAGTTTTATTTGTGCTTATTTTGGTCCAGTCACTCAGGATGCGGGGCGGCACGCGGGGCTGGAGCCTAATTTGGAGCCAGAAGTCAATATTTTGGTAGCAAACATCCACACACACGTCACATTCACATCAATGACTTGAGTACACACTTGGGGCCTGTGTGTCAAAACACAGAGCCCTTGTGTCCACTTTAACAATTGTACCAAATGGGCCCATGCTGTACAGTGGTTCACAGTGAATAGCTCCACAGCCACTGATTAGCCTCTCCACTTCATGAACAGCACACAGTCAAACAGAGAGACAAAGGCGGTGGCTCCCGGGGAGTGCGTTAGGGCAGAAGGCCTGTCCGCACATAGCTGCGGTGAGGGGCCACAGAGAGCCCCCCCCTTCCCCCACCCCGAGTGGAAGAGGCTCCCTAATAATTGAGACAAAGATGCTGTGACCCTGTCCATCTGTCTGCATTTTAGGAAATCAAAGGCCCTCGTTTCCATGCGTGATGAGAAAGTCATGCCGGTCATTTCATATGCAATGTCCAGGGTCGGCTCCTCTGTCAGTGTCCCCATTGTCATGGTAATTACCCCGCCTGCTCCCTTTCCAGAGCGGAGCGCGGTGGCATTTGGAGGGAGTCAGGGAGTCATTATAATGCTATGACACAGACGGCCACAGACAAACGCTGTTCAACAGGTGGATGCCAGGAGGACTTTTCATGAACTTCTGCCATTATGTCTCCCTGCTGTTCAGGACTGACCACTCAGGAAGTCACTATACCACGACCGTATCAACGAGGGGCTGCATAAAAGTCTGTCCTAAAATCTAATTTTTCTCAAATGACTTTTTATATTCCTGACCTTTAGAGACACACAAGCAGCGAGACGGTGTCGAAGTGAAGCCTAATTTCTATTGGTTGGAGTTAAGTATCCTGTAGTGGAGAAATGATAGAGCAAAGTGCAATTACAGCTGACAGCCAACACAATAAAACACACTATATTGGCCTCTGTAGGGTTGGTTAGACATGCTAGCTTGTCTGTGGACCTAACTCTTGACGAGGAATACCTCAAAAGAAAGGAGGTTTTTTCAGGTATTGCTTTTTCAGATTAATTGCTTGCTAACAGCAAAGTATCACACCAGTGCCACTCCTACATTACTTAATGAATAAAGCATGCGAGTGCGTAGTTTGCCCTCTGCATGTGGAGGCTGCTCATATTTCAGACATTTACTGCCCTCCCCGTGCACAAACAGATGTTTTACCTTCAGTTAAAAAGCCTCGGCCCAATCTAATACGGTTAAAAATGTCTTGTGCATATTTGCATGACAGACTGCAGGCAGCCAACTGTCTTTCGACATTCAGAGCATGACTGATATTAGCAGGGTTCGCTTCCCCCCAGGGGTACGAGCCAAGCTCCAAATCAAATGCTAGTATGGAGTGAAGGCAGCGAAATGCCAATGTGAGCACAAAGCAGTGCATTTCATTACTCCAACTTATGTCAGTGAAGAGCGAAGAAGAAAATGTGCATCGTGCCTTAAAAGGTTACCTGGAAAGACTCGAGGGAAAAAGTCCATCAAGTATAATTCCTGGGATGGCATTCGTACTTCTCCTGTAAACACAGGTTATTCCTGGAGCTTCTTCAAATCTGTCTGGTCGTCTTCTAACTTTTAATGAATCTCTAAACTAGGGCTTTCAAACAATTACAATTTCTAATCGGATTATCCACAGGATACATGCGACTCAATGACGATAAATCCTAATTAATACGGTATAAACGTCGGTAAAGACGTC